GGTCTGTAATAGACAAAATGAAGTCGAAACGCCGAGACAGTCTTCGCCTACTGTGGCACCAAATCCAAACGCTGATACAGAGACTGGTTACCTCTGTAGAAGCACCAAGTCGAAAACGCCAAGACAGCTGCTACTCGCTGGGCACTAAGTCGAAACGAGAGAGTTACTCACTAAAACTTGAGATGAAGACTCATTAAAAATGAACGAGAGAGTTACTCATTAAAACTACCTAAGTCGAAACTTTTTCTTTTTATCCCTAAAAGAGCCCGCTAGAGGATTGCTTTGCTTTCTAACATCTCTTTCTGTTATCAAAATGCTCTTTAGCACTAGGCGTCTAGTAAGCGATAGCTATCGCTTACCTAGACAAAGGCCGAAGCACCACAGACACACTTCAAGCACAAACTCGTATTTGTAAATAAATCTAGTTAGAACGGCCTCGGCCAAAGTCTTACATAGCCTCGAGCTCACTAGACTCTAATGGAACAATAATAATAATAATAATAATAGGAAAACTGCTTGTCCACCCTAGCAGTTACTATAGCTCTGCACTGGCTCTATGATAGACCTGTTTGCAAACCTATATCGCTCTTTTCGACCAAAAGTATGTTGCCAAACCGCTCTTTTTGCAAAGATTACAAGCAACCTACTTTGCGTGCATCGTGGTGGCTCTCTGCTGCAACACGAATGAGCTTGTTACATGTAACTAGTGTGCCCTTGCGCAAGGTGCACGGATTCGTAACTTGTAAGTACGCCGAACACCAGAACACTGCAACACACCCTGGCTTCAACGCGTCTTAACTCAACCAACATGACTACTGTCAGCAAAGCGTTAGCATCAATTGGATCGCGGGAGTTTGGAGATGAAATTGATTCCGAACAATGGAGTGCGAAAGACTATCCTGGTCAAATGCCGCAGCCCTAGCGCCCTCTACCAACGATCAGTCTCGATTGTTCTGTACAGAAATAATGAGGGAACGCTCCGCCTTGAGAGTCCAGCGTTTCTTCCGACATTACATACTCGACTGACTACTGCATTTAAATTTACGACAGCACTGACATATTCATATCTCAAGACCCTCGTTTATTTAGCGTCGCATGGGATCCGTTATCAGAGCCAAGTCAAGAATTTGCACTCCACGCCCCACCATCTCCCGCTTCCTGAGAATGCATTATGAAACTAGTTCTCTCGACTATAACACAGCTACATCTTAGCCTGCATTAGAAGCACTTCGACTCACTGCTTTGGACATGAGTATCGGACAGACAGAGTATTATAGTAAGCCAGCACGACAATTGCCAATTTCGGATTGTAGCATATCATGTTGACTGATGGATATCAAGCTGCTGCACTTGCAGCATCTTACGCCTAAAATTCCCCTCATAAATACACCTTGTCGTTCATCTAAAGGTAGCACCATTGCCCTTCGCACTCTAGCATATGATGTATACAATCTTAAACTCTGCTCGCTACGAACTCTAAGTAGACTGCCAACATTGTACGCTAACCTAGATCATTAATAGTTTCAGCCATTTAACTAACAAGTCGGATTTTAGGCGACTTACTGCATAAATATAGATCAGTGATTGTGTCCTAGTTGCATTTGCGGGAATCGCAGTCGCCTAGCGAGCCACACTAACCTAGGTAAGCGACGGCTGTTAGCAACTCAACTCTATCCCGTATAAGCTTGACTGTAAAAAGCATGCGTACTTCCTTTCGCACTATAACACTGTTCCTCAACTCCTACAGCGAGAGCCAAGGCAATGGCAATAAGTCTAGTGACAATCTCCATAGTAATAGGGTTCTGATGAAAGTGTTATTTGTATAGGAGAAAGTAAAGGCTGTGTTATAGTCCTAGGGATCACTTGTCGATCCTCTACTATACAGGTCTTTGCTGTATATTTCGAATCTTTTTGGCGCGGTAAATGGTCCACAACTAACTTGACTATAATTTGCAGTTCGAGCTGCAGTGAGTATTATTATTATTATTATTATTATTATTATTATTCTAGTTTAACGTCCTTTTTCAGCCCGAAGGGCTATATAAGACGTGTAGAGTTTTTAGGCCTACAAGTATCTAAGTAGGTTGTTTCTAGCTACGATATTTAGGAGGGGTTTTAACTAGATGAAGGTGAGGCTCGTAGCCTATTGGTTGGTAGGTAGGGGGTGGGATAGGGTGGGGGAGGTGTATGGAGCAGTGAGTATTAGAAATGCTAGTAATTCTAGCTATCTTGTCGATCTATAATTAGAAGTGATACCCCTCGTCCTTCGCGATAAAACGGAAAATCGTAATTCTAGCCATCAATCTTTCGTATATACCAGCACTTTCTACTCTATTGACACTTCTTACTACATATGCTATACTTACGTTACAATGGTAGTCTCACATAATTCAACGAATATGAGCTTTCCTAATAAGGTAATGTACTCTCAATTCATTCCATATAATCGCTACATATGAATACCGCTATCAACAAAAATTGTTTGTCCTGTCATGTAGGAGGAGTCATCACTCAGAAGAAAGGCAATGACGCTTGCTAATTCAGAAGCTTTTCCAACACGCCTGAGCGCTGATACGTTCTCCCCTCGAGTTATAGGAGTGCCATTCTTCACATTGGCTGCCATGGAATTGTACAACATGGGTGTCTCAGTGGGTCCCCTGTGACAAATCAGTGACCTTGCAGAATAGAAATATGCGCACATGACCGAGGGACGTGTACGGAGCAACTGCATTCACTCTGATGCCTCTAGAACCCATATCCTTTGCTGCACATCTTGTGAGTCCAATAACGCCATTTTTGCTGGCGCTATATGCTGAACCTTTGGCAGCCCCTTCAACACCTGCTCGTGATGCCACGCTCACGATTGCACCGCCATCTTTTATTGATCGAAGCTCAGCACGCTGGCAGTGCCTGCAAAATAGGTTAACCGCCCGTTTCCGAAATTCTTATGAGAAATATAGACAACATCAAGCTGGTGAGATTGACACCGAGAACGAATTCCCAGTCGTCCTCACTAATTTCGTCCGCTGCCTTGATTGCAAGGTCTTTTCCCGCAACTCCAGCGACATTCGCAGCCCTATCAATTCTTCCGAAATGTGAAACAGTCTGCTCAATTCATGAGTCTACCTGTTTGCTATCACGGACGTCCAATTTGAGCGTTAAAACCTCACCACCACCAGACTTTATCGCTGCCGCAGCTTCGGTCAAGAGGTCTTGCTGAACATCTACTATGGAAACCTTTGCTCCTCGTGAACACAAGAGCTTTGCTGTCTCGATTCCTATACCAGAAGCGCCTCCGGTGATTGCGATAGCCTTTCCGTGAAAAGAAGACATGTTAGCTAGTGGGCTGGTGGACGACGGGTTACTGAATGTACGTGTGGGAGAGTCATATATAGCTGCGGGGCAAATTGTGGGTCTCTAAATGACTCTTGACTTCTTCAACACGGTGCTGACGTATATTACATTGAGTTCGGCCGAGCTATTCGTATAGAGTGCCCCTGCTGACCATATTTAAATGTCGTGCTCAGCCTCCATTAGCATATTTGTGACGTTGCTAGAGACAACACACTAAAAGCATGAGCATACACAAGTCAGTAAGTGGCTGACCCAACCTCTCTTTGAAGTGCCAAGGTCCTGATAGTTCCTGCATATCATCTGAGTATCTGAGTATCGGATGATCGGATGGTCGGAGATCGCAAAACATACATACACATATGTACAGTAGAGCAGGTGTAAGTTCTGTAAAACTTCTGGCCTGCGCTGGTGAAGATTAGAGTCACATTAGCTATCTTAGTTATCTCTTCTACTGTTGTGATTAGAGGAATAGAAAACCAACAATCTCAATTAGCTGTATAGCAGCGCTGAGCGAAGAATTGAGTGGTAAGAATACCCCCTTGCTAGTCTCGGCGTTACAAAACTTACCCTTGTTTTTCTCTATATTAGGCAGATAATTTTAGCCACTTGCGCAGAGCTTGGCATAAAAGCAACAAGTATTGAAACACTAAGGGTCACCAAAGCCCACCGTCCATGAGGTATACCCTTTCCTCAACATAGACTCCCAGCTCAGTGCCATCAACTAGACATACTAAATCCACTTCCTTTGTAGCCATATATCTTTGCTTTATCATAAGCAATGTAACAACAGAAAAAGGAGGATTTTCTTCATCATTCATTTACATCCTTTGAGGTAACTTTATATTTCGGAATAACCGGAACGAAGAACAATAGTGAATAGCGTGGATTTGTACATGATATAGAACAGCAGTGAGGTACTATACCCTGTACCTTGTACACAATGAGTACTAATGAAACATAATCAATGTCTGGGAAGACTTACGAATGGCGTAGATATTATGTAATAGTCCTGATATGTGGAGACGCGGTTTTCTTGGTTGAGTTTCATCATCCGCGCGATCAACAGAAATTAGAATACACTGCTAAGTACCTCTTCAATCTATGAAACCGATACGTAGTAATAGGAACTTGTCAAACTAGTCGATTTGAAATTGATAAGTAATATCCCGCCTCAAGTCCGGTTCAAAACTTGGATAAAAAACAAAAGGGTAACGTATGTGGCAAGCGAGCGCCGCAGGTAAGCGAGCGCCGCACCCCACCAAACCTGCGCACCTCTCCTATCTCAACGAACAATGGCTCAACGTAGCGCTACTTAATTAGCTTTAAATAAAGCAGATATTTAGCTTGCTATTTCTTCTATTAATCTCTATTAAACACAAAGTAATCGTCGCGCTGCTGCTGTCTATAACGTGTCTAAACGAACAATCCGCCGCCGACGCGCTGGTATACCTGCTCGACGCGATTGCTAGCCTAACTTAAAGAAGCTCACTAAGCTAGAAGAGGAGGTGATAGTTGATCATATACTTGATCTAGATCTACGTGGATTTGCGCCCACGTATGCTGCTGTGCGCGATATGGCTGATAAGCTGCTGGCTGCGCGCGGCGCTGGCCAGGTTGGGCAGAAGTGGCCAGCCAACTTTGTCAAGCGTACAGACAGTCTTACGACGCGTTTCAATCGAGCGTACGATAGGCAGAGAGCTCTATGTGAAGATCCAGTCCTAATCAAGAGCTGGTTTGAGCTTGTAGAGCAGACAAAGGCTAAGTACGGCATCTATGACAAGGACGTCTACAACTTCGACGAAGCTGGCTTTATAATAGGCAAGATCACGACTTAGCTAGTCGTAACAGCATTAGAGAGGAGGGGCCGACCAAAGGCAGTTGAGCCAGGCAATCGTGGGTGGGTAACGCTGATCGCAGCGATTAACGCAGCTGGCTGGGCAGTTCCGCCATTCCTCATCTTTGCTGGCAAATATCATCTATCCGCCTGGTACGAAGCAGAGATCCCACGCGACTGGGCGATCGCAGTCAGCGACAACGGCTGGACGAATAACGAGCTAGGTGTTGCCTGGCTAAAGCACTTTGA